AAAAAATTATAAATGAATCCTGAATCCCGAATAAATAATTAAAATTCAAAAATAAAAAACAAAAATCACTTCATCTTCTCCCCCACCCCACCCATGTGTATAAATTGGTGGATGAATCTTATTAAACAACTTATTATTATTTACTTTTTGGTAAGTTATATATATTGGTGAAATTAAAAAATTTAATTATCATACGGAGCCCCCAAACTGAACATAACTAAATTTGGATCTGACGAGTTCAGTTACTAAATACCCAAAAATTCGGGTTCGATTCAATTCACTTTAGAATCGAATCGAATTGGACCATGTCCAGCCCTAGAATATGCGTTAGAATGGTTTGATTCTGAACCACATACTAGTATTACTAAGTAAGTTGTGTAATAAATAGTTTTCACTGGTCAAAATAGTCAAGATGAAGTTGAAAACTTCTACCTTTTAGCAATTTGATGGAGAAAGTTATCACAATGATTGGGACAAATTCAATGACATAGAAAAGTGTCAAATCGTGGGATTATCAAGGGTCAACAAATCCAATACTTCTATGTTGAACTCTTACTGGTGCAAAATCTACGATGGATTCTTTAGCAAGTGGTTCTACTACAAATAAATCAATGAATCAAGTATTGTAATTGTTTGATTGATTGATTGATTGCGAAGACATATTTGATGTACGCCTTAGATCGTATAGTTCGGAATAAAGTAGCAAGTACACAAGATGTAGACAATACATCATCTACTAATATACACATTGTTGCATTAATAAAGCAAGTAGAACTCTTAGTGAAAGTAAACACACATGTAGTGAATACTGTCAATAGGATACCAATATGCGAAAATTGAGGAATGAATCATTCTATTGAAGAGTGTATATTATTGACATCTTTAGAAGAGCATGTCAATTATATTCAAAATCCTTTATAGTAGCAAAACAATCCATATTCAGCTACCCATAATTCGGGCTGGATAAATCATCTCAACTTTCATGGAGTAACAATCAAAATGTTGGGAATTCCATTTACCCTAAGCATAAAAGAAATTAGAGTTTGGGGTAGATGTTTCAGCACTACATGCAAAAGACCAATAAAATAATTTAACGAAGTGAACTAAAATATCAAAATCAATACGTCTCTATTAAGAAACTACAAACTCATATTGGCTAGCAGTGACGAATCTAGTATGGGGTTAGTCGGTCAGCTGCCCCCACAGTTAATTTTCAAATTTTCGGTCAACAAATTAAACAAATTTTAGTTTTTGCCCCATAAAAAAAAAGTGTACTTCAAAATATGAGATCAAAGGATAATATTATTTTGGCAATGATAAAAATTTTCCATCATTTTCCCCTCTCCAACATTCACCGCTTCCATTCTCATTCTGATTCCCCTCTTTCTTTTTGCCCATTCTCATTCTCAGATACCATGTAAACTGTAAAATAATAAAAAGTGGAAAAGTTTTTAGAAAATTATGTAATTTGAAGTTTGAAGAAAGAACAGGATATGAAGAATTTTTGGTGACAGTGAGTATACTTTTTCATTTTCTTTTGCTAAGTTGAAGGATTATTTTTTTGGGATAACAAAATAATTGCGTTTTGGGGGGTTTTCAATTTTGGGATTTTTGTGTTTGCTTGAAATGCAATTTTCTGTAGTTTTTTTTACGATCCTTGCTCGTTCCCACAAATTTAGGATCCTAGCTCGTCCCCTGTTGGCAAGATAGCTTTTTAATGGTCGGAGAAACAACCCGGTATAATGCCTAGCAATATTGAAGATAAAGAAAGGATGTCTAAAAATCCAAAGGAAAAAGCACAAATTTCAGTCAAAGTATACGGGTCTCCTATCCTGTTTCCACAAAGAACGTATAGGAACAAGTCAAATTTCTTGATATTTTTCAGGAATTGCACATCAACGTTTCATTTCAGATGCTCTGCTCAATTGCTCATTTATCTTAAGTTCATGAAGGAGATTCTTTCTATCTAAAAAGAGGAAGCCTGAGACAATGGGATTGACATAGGAGTGATGTACAATTTTGCAAAACAAGCTTTCACCAAACCTCAAAAATTCAAGCGTTTTTATATCCATTTGTAAAATATTTTATAGAGCATTGTGTGATCTTGTGGCTAATGTCTCTATCTATTTACAAGAAACAAAGACTGGGAGGGCCAAAATGGACCACTGTCTTACTTCAATTGGCGGATAGAACATACGGAATTATTGAGGATGTATTAATAGAAGTGGATGAGTTCTTGGCGACCATTTCTTGCAACTGGGAGAACTTTGATTATGTTGAAAATATGTGATCTGAAAAGCATTTTCAAGAAACTCTCAATTTTAAAGAGTAAATCCTTAAAATTATGCTCCAACGGACACATTTTAAAATGGAAAGTGAGTTTGGCTCTTCAAATTTAGAGAGCCCAATCCACTCTCTATAATTAATTTCATTAAAACTATTTCAATTTTCAATATAAAAAAATAATATAATTATTTGGAAGGAAGCTAGCGAAAATAAAATATAAGGAAAAATAATAAATGCTTTTGAAAGCAGTAAAATTAAGTGTTAATATAAGAGTCCTGCTACATTACCAGGCTGGAGGCTCATAGGATTGTTCCAGGCTACTCACATTTGGGGGGGATGGGTATTTTTTTGGGCATTTTTTATTGCATGTGTGGCCCACCCCCATTGAGAGAGAACCTATAAATTACATGTGATGCAAAGCCTGGCAGAGTAGAATTATTCTAAATATAAAGAGCATATTGGAATACTTCAAAATATTTACTCTCTAAATTTATAGATACTCTATAAATTGCAAAATATACTATTTAAAAATAAAGAGTTTTGGGAGATGCTCTAAAGGTTTAAGATGAGCAAGTGACTTTGAGCATATTAACCAATCAGTCGTTCATCTCAATTTGAAAGTCGATTTGAGGTAGAAGAGGCGTTGCAAAACGGTGTGAAGTTTTCAAGAATGAGGTAAATTCAAGATGACAGGTTGGAGCATTGTTCGAAGAAAAGGGCACGTAAGTGCATAAGAAAAAGTTGGAGACTTGCAAGGCATGGAACAACAAGCAGTGGAAGGCTTCCATAGTGCACTTCAAATTACCATAAATGATTGTTACAGAAAGTCGAGGTAGAGACTATAAATCGAAATCTTAATGTGTGGCTACTCTGACTCATCCTATATCCTTTTACTTGTTTTGTTTGCATTAGTTAGGTCATATTGTAGTTAGAGTAGGTTTACATTTGCATTTAATAAAATAAAGTGAAATTAATCAGATATTATTAGTAAAGATCGAGTTTACAGTCTCTATCTAGGTTACACAAGTGATCGCTCTATCTATTTTCTGTTAAACAATCCAAAAAGAAAAAGAAAAGGAGGCTAGAGTTTTATTGATTCTGCATAATGCAATTGAATAATGAAAACCTAAATACAAAGAGACTGTACATAGTCTTAAATAAAGGAAATTTAAAAGACTATTCTACCCTTTAATAAATAATAAAAACAAAATAA